CTCCTGATAAGCGCAACAGGCCAAAAGAAGCATTGGGTGAGCGAAATAATCGCCCATAACAACTCACTTATCTGTAAAAAAAGTGTACCTTAATCACCGGGCTGAACACTTTCAAGAACGATTTCACTGACCACTTGCAGTTGCTCAGCCGGATCCCTGACGCTCAACGCAGCCCTGGGAGATAGTCGGTGCACATCTAATTTATTTGCCTCTATCTGGAAGAAAGACTTCGTCCGAACTAAATCGAGTGGTGCCCATTTTCAAAGAAGGTGCTCGTATGAGTTTGGGAATCACAGAGGAATTGCCTTGACCCCCCAAAGTAGTGAGACCTCTGGCGTCGCTTATTTTACATCCTGCAAAGGCGCGTGAATAGGCATCCGAGAACGGCAAACAGGATTCCAATCGGGGAGCAGCTTTGTGGACCATATCTTCATATTTCGTCAAGTGTTGGAGCAATGGCATGCGTATAGATGCGTCACAATTTTGGTATCCCTTGACTCCAAGAGTGAGTTAAATTCCATTGACTGGTTGGTTCTCTTCGACGCGCTTGCGCAACACGGTATGCCGCAGAAGTTCATGAATATCGTGCACTCTTCATATTCACATACTTGTGGGCACATGGGACTGTATGGGGAGTTTTCCAAAAGCTTGCCTACATGCAGCAAGCATGTAGATGTCCGGCAAGGGTAGCCGCTCCCCCCGTTTTTTGTTTACTTTGTTACTGATGAGATAATGGGGTGAACGACGGAGGGTTTCCAACCCCCGGTGTTCAGATCTCTCCGGGCGAGAACCTGTAGTATTCATTCTACAACACTGTTCTCACTTTTGAAGAAGAGCGGGAACGTAAACATTACTTGAAAAGCTGATCAAGGTAGTCCAGTCCTTCGGCATATGCTTCGCTCCCACAAGTTGTAAAGCCATATAGCAGGACGTACAGTCTTTAATCATGCTCCTGAGAGTTCATGGAGTGACACTGGAGGTTGTGGGACACTAAGTATTTCGGAGGTTGCACTAGCTGCAACTGTAGTACGACAGATAAATTGAAGATGCGCATGTCGAAGGCTAGTGTTATGTTCACTAGTTCACGCTATTCGTGGCATCAAAAAACGTATCTAAGGGCTTCAAAGGCCGTGTGCATCAGACTGCAGTGCGGGATCTATTGTTGTGTGGCTGTTAGACTTTGCCACCGCGGGCGGAGGATTCGAGACGCCTTCAGGATTTTAATAACCGATCTCTCAGCATTTTGATGGGAATTGGCTAAAATCAGTGAATTTATAATGAAGCGATTGGGAAACGGGTTTGGAGTGAAGTTTTGAACTGCTTCCCTGAGAGATTGCATTCAGCCCTGCAGGCTAACGTGGCTGATCCATGTGTTACGCGCGCCAAGTTACCGTCTGCCGAGACGAGCCGCGTCTAATTCTGAGTGGCGGAAACCTTGAAGGGATACAGAATTTGGCACATCAGAATTGAATGCAGGATATCACGAAAAGTTTGGACCCTGTTGGAGCTGTTAGCTTTCCCAGGACGTGGCCCATCCCGTCATTGGCTAGAAGGATATGGTGGCTAGCCAATATCACCGGCGTTTATGCTGTCAATTTCTATCCAGGCTGTTTGACTGAGTATCGGAAGTGTAGGCACTCCGGATGTTTTTGGTAGGCTAGCTCTAGGTCCCCTCCCTTCTCCATTTCTTTCTTTATGATATAGCGTCAGACTCATTGCCACAGGTACCTCAGAAATAAGTTGTTTCTTTCGCTCCCACAGGTGTTGGATGTCCCACTCTCTTGCCCTCTGTAGGTTTCGGATTTATCCATTTTCATGGGGCCTCTTCCACTCACCAAACCGAACCACACTCAAGGAAAAATCGTTGGCCCCATTAACACCCACCAGTTTCCCCTACTTCCGTCCGAACCTTCCTTACTCCGCTGCCTTTATCTTCACTCGTTCTGGCGCTCTGAATGCCTAGATATTGTCTTTTTTGCGCAGCCCCGGGCCATTGTTTCTCTTTTCTACCACCTACACGAGTAGTTAGAACATAACTATAAATTGCTCAGTCATGGATAAGATGCTATGGCCTTTCTTAGAACTGCCCTGGACTAGACAGTGACGTACGGCGTGTGCGATTATCGTCAAGTACAGCCGGACGCTACCTTGTGGGTTACAATATTGCCGTCATCATCGTTTGGGCATTGGATTTGTCTTTGGCCACAATTGCTACTAGGCTTTGTTCGTTGTTGTCAGGATGGTCATATTCGTGAAAATAACCCGTATTCGAAACCTACGGGGTACCGCCCACACCGAAGGGGGTTCGCCAGAATAATTGTTCCAGGACAGGAGGACGACTGTGCAAACGAGTGATGTGAATGTGAACGATACACATCCCGCAAACTTCACAACATGCAATCACTCAGTGTTGACCGGATATCCTTAATTAAACGATAAGAGGTGCCTTAGGTACTGCGATAATCCCTGTAATTGTTCGCAATGAGGCTGTGGTGTTCGTTTTTCCTGTCGCTGAAGTCTTGGAGCCGATGTTTTGCGTCAGTTACAACAGTTGGATAGTAAACATTGCTGGAGGGACGAAATTTTTCACCGAACTGTAAACCCATGGCCACCTGATTCAGAGAAAAAGTCGTAACCCAAGTCAACCACTTTAACTGCTTGGGCTTGGTCATACCCAAATAACCAAGCACAGCCTACACCGTAGCCTGACATGCACAACTTATGAGATCAAGTGGTCCATTATTAATGGTACAGGGTGCTTGAACTGGCGACCATAATCCTCACCATTCGCCTTTCAACTTCATCTCACAGCGCAATTTCAGAGACTACTACTGCTCTTCCGTGGATCTCAATATGAGTGTCCTGCAGCATGAATTGACATTTTCGGTGGAGCCTAGTCCACACCATCACAGTAAGGAAGGATAATCGTTCAGCTCTAGCACTCTTTCGGTGCCTAGCTGTTATGCCAAGCGAAGGAGGCATGTGAGCTGGGATACTGCCAGGTTGCGCAAACTTAGACAGGAGAAGTTGAGATGCAGATGTTGAGATCGAATCACGGACTTTTTGGTCCGTAAGCTGGCGCCTTAACCACTGAACTATCTCGAACTGCAAACCATGATATGACTCCTGCTGTTCTTTCTCAAAACACTTGACTGCACATTGTACAAACAACAGTCAATGGGACCTTCGTGAAATGCTTTCACTGACGGCACTATCGATAGCTGTCCAATCAAACCGGATACCCTCCAGCAGATCAATTGAAACAGTGCTAATCTTATTTGTGGTGACGCTTGAAGTTCGGTTCGGAAAGCAAGTGCATACTGAATACAGAGGCTGGCAGAACAATAAATTCATAACGTGTCTTTAGATTTCACTCGCAGAAAACAGTTTCACCACGTGGGGGCAAGATTGTCTTGCTATACAACTTGTTTCAAAGCGGTTGGATGAACTAAGCTCCCGGATATGGATTTCGAAGTATCTGTGGTTGTGGTGTCTCACTGCCGCGTTCACTGACGATGTTTAGGTAACGGAGTTGTCATTTCTTATGTTGGATCCATGCTGAGATTGTCATATGGTGAAGTTTCTTGCGTTGGTCACGCAGTATGGAAATATCCGCCTCATTGTTTCATTTATGTACGACGACAATGTCTATCGCCCTCATCTGAATCCCTCCACAAAAAAAGCATCCAAACAAATCGGCTTCTAAAGTGGCGGTTTCTTGTGACCAATTCTACGTTCTGTAGCATATGGCCAATTCATTTACACCTGTCGGATGTAAAGGAAATCTGTGGTGTGATTCAAAATTTTGAAGTAGAGTGCGTGTGCCGAATTCGCACAACTTTTTCATATTTGATGAGTCCGGATTCAAGCAGACAACTCTCGAACTGAGTTCTTCGTCTTCTATGTACCATAAAAACTGTTTTCCCCTGTCTTTCGATAGCAATCTGTTCCGCTCTCAAACGATATCACCAAGAAGAATCCTGCCCTCCCAGCTCACGTTGACTTCCACTTTTTCTTAGTTCGTTCACTTGTCCTTATTTCCATTTTCAGGATCTTCGTGATGCTGTTCTCTGTATATTTCCCTAATGAAGCGTAAAGGAAAGCAGAAAAAAGGGACCCAGTCCTCCACACAGCAGGTCCGAAGCAAACACGAGGAGAATTGTGAACTCGAGGTCGCACTCTCTTCTGTTGAATCACAAATCCGCACGTCCACTGTTTCGTCCTCGGTCGCTAGAGCTTCCACAAATCCCACATGTACGACCTCAGTTGGAACGACAGTCAAGGAAATTGTTGCTCCAGTGACAATAAAAGGTGACGGGCACGATTGTAAACACAAACGCGAACTTTTACGCGTGGATAGTCAATGCAGTGATTCAAGAGACGCGGATACTCATCTTGCGAGTGAACATGACTATGCCGACGATGATGGTTAGTTTTTTGTGCGCGTTTGATTCTCAATTGTATCAGACTGGATGGATGATATGATTGTCCTTTTTCCTAAGAGAGGGGAGGTGATTTTTTTTATCAGTTGGCTGAGGAAGTTGCTTGAATGGGTGTATGGCTTGAGCGCAGCTATTAATTCATTTGGTAGAAAGTGCATTTTGAACCCCCAATGCCTGTGGTTTCGTTCAAATGGACGATTTGGCTCTCGGACTGTTGATAAACTTCATGTGTGAACCCTGTGTGGCCTTGTACTCTAGGTGTTTTGATAAAGTGTCCTCCTTCCTCAATCTCTTTTGTGGTTGTCTAAGGGTTGGGCCTGTAGTCATCGTCTGTTGGATGTTTTGGCTATGTTGCTGAAAATCATATTTCTCACTAGGCTCTGCTAATACGCCAATAGAGTATGCAGCCGTCCTGCTGAAAGGTACACAAATTGATACACTGTTGGTGTGGTTGAGCGATCCAGTCTCTCTGATGATATGGAACTAAATTTGCAGTGCGAATGCCACATCGTGTTCCATTTGGGGCCTAACTCAAAATATCGAATTCTTTTTGCTGCAGCCAGCAGACAACTGCGCATGCTGCTATAAAAAATTAACAGAACCCGTTTTTTTCGGGTGAATTCGTTAAGCTCTTGTTTGACTGCGAGAAACAAGCACTGCAAGTGTGCCTTCCTCTAACATACAACATTCATACACAGCCGGACACTTCATACTGGGGAGACCACTGTAATTCTGTTTTTGGTAAAAAGTTTTTTTGATTCCCGTTAATAAGCGAACGTGCGTCTGAAATCCTATAAAACTGCTATAGACCAATTTTCCATTTTTGCACTGATTCAAATTCGGGTATTCTAAGCGCCTCTTGTTTTAAACATTATGGATTCTTATCAGATCAGTCCCACCAGGCATCTCGCCTTTATTTGGGATCACCTGGTATGCGTAGGGGTTCGGTTACGTGACCCTGCGACCAGAATTAATAGTGAATTCTCAGTCAAGGTCGTTAATTTGTTAGGAAGAACGGACTGGCGACTCACAGGTAGCTGAATATCCTGGCCACAACGAGTGACATCCCAACATAGTTTCGGTCCGCCTATATGTCTTTTCAAGTACTGCAGTCGATTGTCGACGGGACTTACAGCAACCCATGCGCGTACCGTCTCAATTTATTTCTGTTATCCTTAAGCTTGCCTTATTTGCGTTATCGACTGTCGTCTAACGTAGTCTCCACATAACTCACCCACACCCATATATGTAGTTGCACCGGAACTCGTGGCTATGCACGACTTGTCACTTCCGTCTACATCACCAGGTTCAACTGAAACAAGGCACTTGGCAGACAAAGGTCAGTCTTATCTCGATCTCGTTCCTTTGTTTTGGTTTGTTCACCTCGTTCAAACCGGGCACTTTGTGAGTGCAGCTCACATTTTGAACTGCGACTTAGGATATTCTTTGTGTTCGCTTATTTGTGAGACCTTTAGTTGACATGTATGTGAGCAAACATACGTCACCTCACATACAGGATACGCTGTTTTATGGCTCCCTTCCTCATGTTCATTGGTAACATCCCATTCGTTTCTCACCTTTCTGTGTATTGCGTCAGTCACCCAGGAGACGGGTTTTGACTAGAGCAAAGCGCGTCCCAAGTGGAGTTGCTTTTGGTTTTCGCATGTATACCTATGGCCAAAGAAGCCTTCTACCCTGTAAGCAGGTCAATTGCTTTGACCATCTCACCTGCAAACTGATATCATCATAGTCTGTGAGCCATGTGGAAGGCCTACATTAGTTTCAGCCCTCCCATTCTCGATCGTCGATGAGAGACGAATTGTGGCGGTAGCTCAGAGTATGATAGGGTAACGGCAGCGCTGATGGTGCAACGATGACAATCATGCCTTCTGGCTGGTGTTCGAATGGCACAACAGGCAGCGTTTTGCGCCATGTCTCTCAGTATCTTTAACATCGATTTAGCCTGTCCCCCCCCCCGGGTTTTTTCGGGGGAGATCCCAGCTTGCAACGCTACAGAATTTGCTGTCTTCGATTTTCTTGGTTTCCTACGCATTCGTAGGTATTTTCACTGTGTTCGTTGCTGGACGAAGTGGTTCTGTGAAGTAAATGACATTCGGAGCACATGCTCAGACCGCGTTACGTTGCGCATCCGCAACTTTTCGTTTGTATGTTGAGGAATCTGGTATCTCTTCCATAAGTCGTATAAACTACCGGCGAAATTGCTCGCCTAAACGAAGCCCATCCGCAAATAAGACAGAACTGAGCCATGTTTCGAGCGCCAGGTCCGTTCCGTTGATCATATTTGTTATTCATTCGGATTCAGATGGCAGTAGTCCTTTTCAATTACGTACTTCAATCCGGATATTCGGGAAATTAGGTCCAGGTTCCGAACGGTATGGAAGTTGTCGAGAAAACAGATGGGAGGTCAGTCGACTCACCCAAATCATTTAGCTGTAACAACAGAGATTTAGCTAATGACTGTCCGAAATTACAGCCTCATGGTGTTAGGCAGGAATCCACGCGGATCCCACTATACCGCACGTCTTTAGGTGCTGCTACGGCCGAGAAGCCTGGCCCGCTCCAGGTTAGCCCAAAATTCGGGACGTTTGCCGGTCCGGCATCAAGACGAGATCTGATTGGTCAA